TAAGGTCATTATCAATGGCAAAGTTGGATCAAAACTTGGCAACCCACTTATTTAGAAGTTGGATAAGCATCTAGCAACAGCTATCACTCAGGGAAAACTTTCTGTGTGTGAAACAGCGTGCTTGACGTATTTTCATATAGATTTTCTCATTTCATCTTCACAATAGTCATGTGAGTAGGTATCAAACCCATTTAAAAATGTTTACCAAATATTGTGTAAGAGTAATTGGTAATTTTAATATGCCAAATTAAAAAGATAATTTGTAGAACTGTGCTACAAATAATTTTAATCTTTGTTATATGTATTCAGAGTTTCACCATTTCTTAGCACATTATGTCAGTACATAATCCTCACTTTTGATTCAGTTCTATAGGAAATGGTGGCCTTTCAGGTTTCCAAATATTATAAGCCCTTGAATTTCCACTATTATTAATTCAATTATATTTATCCAATAAGTTCCTGTGACTTTCAGGAATAGTGGATAATTTCTTTTTATTTATTCTATAGTAGAAAAAACTACTTTTGTTGTCTCAATATTCCCTAATTGTGAAGTTTAACAAATGTATCTTTCATGGGTGGTTAAGATAAGCAGTTCTACTTTCCATTTTACTGTTGCTCATCATCTCAAAATCCTTAATAGTATATGCTCCATAAAAATTCCAAGTGCCATCACTTAAAAGTCTGATTACTATCAAATTGAATAAATTATTTTGGAGGAAGATAACCCAAACTTGCTAAGTGTCGCAACCTATGACATTCTTTATAAAATTCTCTATCACACTAAATTCTAAATATGTACTCTTGAGCTTTAAAACTCCAAATCCTTCTATTTAATTCTGTTATGTAAAAATGAAATACTACAAAAACTCTGCTAATCATATTGTTGGTTTACTTTTACTTATTCTCTTTTCCAAGTTTGCCCCACATTCTTTTTCTTCATTAAATGTCAGTGAAGAGACTAAACACAAATACACAAAGATCCCATCTAAGCCAGATGCAGAGAGTATAATAGTTAATGCCAGATGCCAGAGATTCTCTTCACATTAAATATTCAACACCAGGTGGTTGAGTTGGCTTAACAAAAGAACACGTGTTTTTGAAGAACACAAAGATGGAGTTGGCGGGACCACTTCTCATTTGGACAAAATTGAGTTGCTTAATGAATGGATGTAAAAAGTGTTTGAAATCAAAGTAAAAATTAAGTTAAATCAAATCATTTATTCACATCTTTGCAAATGGGAAATGTTGTTATAATTTGTAATTTTTTCCCCAGAATTAATACTGAGGACAAATGCTAATATTTATATCAGCTAAAGGAAAAAATCCTTTATTCTCTAGTGACAGCATAATCTTTTCAAAAAATAAATTTATTTATTTATTTAGAGACAGGGTGTTGCTATGTAGTCCAGGCTGGCCTTGAATTTGTGGCAATCCTCTTGCCTCAGCCTCTCAAGTGCTGGGATTACAGTGATAGCATAATCTTAGTTTGTTTCTAACTCTTTCCACAGTGGTAATACTTAAGACAAGTATTATAGATTCTACCTATAAATGAGATTATGTAATTGAATTGGCCTCTTCAAGTCCCAAAAGCTAATTATTTTTATTATAAATTTTATTTTTGCAATGGATGCTTTGTTATCATTCTCATAGTTTATGTTAAATTCTTCAGTATGGTTAAGCCTTTCTCTAAGCATCTTTCTTTTATATAAAGTCATAATGCTTTGATTTATTCCAAATACCACAGAGCAGGAACCAAGAGAACACAGGATGTCCCACTAATCAACTGTAATACTGTAAAGGAATAGAGGATAGTCTGCCACATAAAAATTGAAAGGATTGTGGAAAGGTGTGCTATTTGGATGAAGCCCCCAAATCCATGATAATGGCCAAAGTAACTGACCCCCAAAATACCCACATTCTAATCTTTAGTACTTGAGTGTGTTACATTACATGGCAAAGGGAAATTAAAGTACTAGATGGAATTAAGGTTGCTAATCAGCTGGCCTTATACTACAAAGATCATGCTGATTTATCTAATAATCTTCTATTCCTGATGTCCTTCTTGGTTCACTTTCTCCCATTGGGAAGAAATATCATAATATGAATGCATATGTCTGAGAAGAATGGACAGAATTCTTGTTTTCTGTCCCATTGTAACCCTTGCCCCTATTCCTGAGCATTTCTGGAGTTCTGTGTTGTGAATTGCTTTCCAGGCTTGGCCTCTAAATACTTATAGTATTTTTTTTTTTGGTACTGGGACCTTGCTCTTGCGAGGCAGGCGTTGGAACCACTGAGCTAAATCCCTGGCCTGTGCTTATAGTATTTTTTACCTAGGATTATTTTCCTTTCCCATTTTGTTGTTCCTTAGGGGTAAAAATTTCCTTGCTGTAATTTTAGAGTGGCTACAGGAGGCAATGAAAAAAACATGTGTGTTCCATCGGCCATCCCCAACCAGAAGTATTGTGTACTCTTTTTATAGAAGACAAACTCTTAAGGATATCAACTAATATGTCTGTTGGGCGGGGGATTTAGCTCAGTGGTGCCTCCGCCTGCCTAGCAAGCCGTAGGTCCAGACTTGGATCCCCGTTAAAACAAAAACAAAAACAAACGTCTGTTTACATAGCCAGTTAAAATGGAGGCAGAATTCTCATCTAGACTTTCTGATTCCTGCATTGAGGGATGATTAAAGCCAACAAATATTAAGGTTTCTCCCTAATCTAAAATGTTATAAATACATTAAAGCACATGGTTTGCAAAATCTATTATGTGCCTCACCTGATGGGCAATTTATATTTGTATATATGTCACATGACTCCTATAAATTTATAATCAGCTTGATAAATTTATGTCTTTATAACTTGCATTACACATGAGTTAGGCATTTGATAAATATTAGAGTAAAAAAATACTTATTTTCCAAATAGATTTAATCTTCAGGGTCTCCTAACTTGTAATTCTAGGGACAGTCACTGTCAGAGCTAATATACAGATTGAGTGCTGGATACAATGTCATGGTAATTCTGTATCAAGCCTCTGCACTATGAGCTGTCTACTCATACTGTATGGGGCTTTTCAGGCTCCCACATAAACATATTTGAGATAAGATGGCCATGGTAGACTGGGTGGATTATTACCATTTGGTAGATATTGGCACAGGATATAAATTTCCAGTGATTTATATTTTGCTAACATCACCTAGGAAATGCAAATTAGAGCAGCAATGAGATACCACTATATACTTATTAATATTGTAAAAATCCAAAACACTGACAACAACAAACACTAGGAAGGATGTGGAGGAATAGGAACTCTCATTCATTGCTGGTAGGAATATGAAAAGGTACAGCTACTTTGGAAGACAATTTGGCAGTTCCTTACAAAAGTCTTACCACATGATCTGGCAATTGTGCTTCTTAATATTTGTTCAAAAGAGTTGAAAATTTATGCCCATCCAAAAACTTGCAAACAGAATATTCATAGCAGCTTGGTACATAATTGGCCAAACTTGGAAACAACCAGAATGTCTTAGTTATATTCTAGTGGCTGGGATAAAATACCTGACCCCCACAACTTAAGGAGAAGTAGTTTGTTTTTGGTTCAATCTGTGGTTTATTTTAGAGAATTCAATCCATACTTGACTGGCTCTAAGGCAGGAAGGACATGGTGAAAGGGCCTGGCAGAGGAAACTTGCTCACATCATGGCGTCCGGGAAGCAGAGAATGAAGTAGGGAACTGGAGAGAAAGAGACATACCCTTACACATCATGTCCTCATGACCTGCCTCATCTGTCTAGGTCTCCCCTCCTAACAGCACCTTCACTGGATTAATACACTGATAAGGATAGCAAAACAACCCCATGATCCAGTCATCTTCCAAAGCCCCACTTCTGAACATATGAGCCTTTTGGGGGATTTCTAGATCTAAACCATACTGCAGAATATATTTCAGTAGGTAAATAGATAAACTCTGGTACATTCACACAATGAAAAGTTATTCATTGCTGAAAAGAAATGAGCAATCATGTCATGAAAAAATATAGAGAAAATTTAAAGTCCTATTACTACATGACAGAGGCCAATCTGAAAGGCTGTATACTGTATATTCTGAATATCTGACACCCTGTAAAAGATAGAATTATGACAACAGTAAGAAGACTAGGTTCTCAGGAAGTAGGGGAGGAATCAATGGGTGAAATGCAGATTTTCATGGTAACGACACTACCTTGTATGATACTATCATGGTGGATACATATCACTAGAATTTTGTTCAGCCCATAATTGTGCACCACCAGGAATGATCCCCACAGTAAATGAAGGACTTTGGGTGAGTATAACATTGTGAGTTTACTGATTGAAACAAAGGTGAGGAATGTTGGCAGTGGGAGAAGCTGTGCCTATATGGGCACAGGGAATGTAAGGTAATTCTCTGTACTTTCTGTTCATCTTTGCTGTGAACCTGAAGCTGCTTTATAAAATAAAGTCACTAGAAAAATAGTTTATGTTATCTCTCACTCCCATATATTATTTAAGTTGTAAATTTAAAAATTGTTATCCCCATTTATAATTCAAAATTAAAACAGTACAAAATTGTAGATAATTTTTTTTTCTAAATGACAATTTCTCTTCCATTGAGGGAAGTGGAAAATGTGTTTCGAAGAATATTTTTCCTCTCCTTTTTGTGTGAATACTCCTACTTGCTAGAGCATGTATTCTGCCTGTCCTGTTACATAGCAATAGATATAGATGCTTCACAATTTCTAAATCCCTTTCTCTTCCTCAGCTTCTCCTCTGTCCCATAGCTCAGGACATACTGACGGAGCCCGCCGTCACTTGTCGAACAGTACCTGAATGGGGGAGTGAGGATGAAGAAAAAGAAAGACAAAGAGATAGAATCGGGAGGGCTCCCAGAGACCGAGCGCCCAAATTTATTTTTCTCCTCTCTTTTATACAACAGGTGAGTTTGGTTGTTAATCATGACCCTTATCCAGAGATACCTGCTTCCTTGTTTTCTAGTTCTTTGGGAATTCCCCACCCTCATGGGCTTCCTTGTTTCTCGGGGTTACGGAACGTTCATCACGTTCCAGGGCAATCTAATTCGGCAAGGACGCGGTTCCTCATAACATCGTCTCCTTGCTCTATACAATGGAGGGTAAGATTCAAAATGGAGCCTCTTTGGCTAACACCACTCTCCACACACCGCTCTCCACAACATACACAAGTGCAAAGCCTAGAGACCTACAGAGGGTGAGGTTCCTGCTTAGGCCTCAGGATGCACCCTCTTGGTTCCTGAGGTCCTTGGTAAGTTTGATGCATTTTCAGAGATGCCTTCCAGACTGAATGTGAAATTCTAGCCAGATAGATGTGAACTTGACTTGAACTTGATTGAATTTGGGCAACTTATTTAACCTCTCTGAACTTTGGCTTCTTCTGTAACACTAGTATGTATGTATGTATGTATGTATATAAGTATGTATGTATTTATTTATTTTGTCTCTCTGTATTTTCTTTAATTTCCTTCAACAATTTTCAGTGTACAAGTCTTCAACTCCTTGGATAAATTTATTCCTGCATCAGTTGAGATAATCATGAGTTGTTTCTCCCCTTCATCTTGTAATGTGGTATGTTATATTGATTGATTTTCATATGTTGAACCATCCTTTCCTTCCAGGAATAAATCCCAGTTGGTCCTATTGTACAGGACCAAATTTAATATGCTACTGATTCTGATTTGCTAGTATTTTACTGAGGGCTCTGCATCATACTAAAAAAAAAAAAGATTAGCCTGTAATTTTCTTTTTTGTTGGTGATATCTTTATCTGTTTTTTTAGTTTAGGGTAATGGCTGGCCCAGAACAAGGTAGGCTCTTACCCCTTTCTCTATTTCTTGAAAATGTTTGCAATGGCTTGGTGTTAATTCTCCTTTAAGTGTTTGATAGAATTCACCAGTGAAGCCATCTGATTTGGATTTCTCTTTTTTGGGAGATTTTTGGCTGCTAACTCAATCTCTATTCTTTTTTTTGGTATATCCTTTTATCGGTACATTTTAGGTGTACAATATCATGACATTCATCATTAGAGACATGCACCTTTACATACTCTCTCTTGGTTCTTATTTTTTCCCCCTATAACACTCGTTTTAAAATACAGTCCTTCTGAGGGAATGCGAAGAAGAAATGGAATAAATCACACAAAGGAGTTATGATGTGCCTGTGAGTAGGCCTCAGTTCCATTCTTCTCTTCCCCAATTCCAAGCAAAGGAGGTGATCTTGGTGATAATAATACAGTGCATTTATAAATTATGAAGCAATTTTATACATATTCATACCAATATCATATATTAGTGCTTGAAATTTCTTTAAAAATTATATAGACTTTTGTTTTTACCTCATCGACAAGTAAATTGAGGCCAAGTAATCTTATTTAATGTATCCAAAGTCACCCTGGTAGGTCATGGCAAAATTATGAATGAAAACATGGATGACATTTTGCTCATAAATATGCCTTTTGGAATGTCTTAACATTATTGAGTATGTGGAATAATGCCTTATTATAGTCACCTATTAAATGGCAAGAATTTTCCCAACTTTTTAAAAATCTAATTCCTCTAATAGTTTTCCAAGATGAATACTATTATTTTTCCAATTTAAGAAATCCCAGAAAGAAGGCTCAAAGAGGTTCAGTAACATTTATAAGAGATCACCCAGCCAATAAAAGGCAGAGGAAGAATAAGTCTGAAAGATTTAAAACTAATGTTGCTAGCAATGGAGGATGTTAGATGGGCTTTTATAAAATGAAGCAAATTGAATTAGTTGAGTTGCTCAAACTATCTGTGTAAATAACCTCCTGTGATTGGTTTTTATTGTTAGTAAACATGGTAGTGAGAAATATGTCTGCCTTGTAGTTAGACTTGGGGTGGAATCTGAACTCCAGTGACAGTGGCCTGTTGAGAGGGATGATCCAGCATGGTCTTTGTTGCACCACGTCTGAGTCTCAGCTTTGCCATTCACTACATGACCTTGGGCATGTTTCTTGTCCTCTTTAACGTCTTCCAAATCTGAAATGCCATAATAATATTGTTGGATTATTCTGAAGAGGATATACACAGGACTTTGCACAAAACTTGTCACCTAATGAGGGGTTACCAAGCATTGATATTTCTTATAACTGCTGCATTCATTACCATTTAACTTTCTTGAATCTAGGTTTCCTCATGAGTAACATGGGAAAGTGATTTCTATGTTATAGTGTTAGTATGATAATTACAGCAATGTATGCAATGTGACTGCACTCAATAAATGACCATTTAAAAGAATAATCTAACTTGAGTATATTCTAGAGGCTTCTGTAACAAAGTCACAAATAATTATAGATAAATATTAACTTACTGAAAAAGTATATATGAGTAGTCTTAATAGTAATGATGTTCTATGTGACAGCTTGTTTCCAAATCCTCATTATCTAGCTTGTATAACCAAAAGCAGGGTTAAATGTAAAACTGCATGTTAGAATAGATGTGAATTTTTCTTGCGACTTAATGGATGGAGGCCAAAATGTCTTTAACTCCAAGGTTCAAAAGCAAAAATGCACTGCTCTCTGTTGGTTACCTTCCTCAGGAGTCCCATTAACACTAATTCCTGAGTTAGGTGTGACATTAGACTTAGCTAATAAGAAAATCATTTAAACTGGATATAAATGAAATGGTTCCAGAAGGCCCTTGAGGAGGGAACAAAATGGCGGGCATTCTGTGACTTTGCAACAAACTGATGAATATGCTGTCTTTTCTGAAGTGAGAAGCCTGTGACTCTTTGAAGCTCATCTCTGAGTAAGGGAGGCCGTGGTTCTGAGGGTGGCATGCAGGATGTGAAGCAGGAGTCCTAGGCAGAAGTTTTCTTCAGTACACACAGGTGGAACAAAAACAAATATCACCAAAGTTCCTTGTAGACACAGAGCCCATAAGAACCATCATGGCGGCATATATGTGACTGGCTGCTTCTGTCCTCAGTCATACCACCTGCGGTCCCCCTGTGCCTTCTAATAAGCCTGAAGAGACTAGACATCATGGCAACTTTTCTCATTTTGGTTACTTCTTGGAGTATGAGGAGCACAAGGGCAGGGTGGGATAATAGAAAACATGGAGAAATAGAGAAATGCAAGGCTAATTCTAGTTCTCTATCAGGTGTGGTCCCTAAGTAAATAAATTAACCATTCTGTGTTGCTCCATTATGCCACTCTCTGTAAATTGGGGATTAGGAGTGCTGTGAAAATTAAATGCAGCAATGTGTTTGACATGATGTATTTTCATTTTCCATAAATGGTTTCAAAAATTAAAAAATAATTTTAAAAGTCAAATGTTGGAGAAATATAGAATACATCATGGCCTAAAAGAAGCCTAGCTTTCCAAGCCACCTATTCAAAGCAAGAAATAACCCCAGGGAATCATTTTGACAATTATCCTAAGTCTAACAGTACTATCATAAAAAAACCCTTTTATTTAGACTTTACTGGCTTAAAATTGCCTCAAAAGACATTATTATCAAACGGTGGCATATTCTTCCCAAATTATTTTGAGAGGCAAAGTCTTAAAGACTGAAGAAAAATAATTTTTTAATCTTCTTGAACACTTGGTATCTCAGCAAATAAATGAATTTCTAACATTGGTATTTTTAATTAGGTATTTGTCTATTGTCTAGAGAAATTTCATATTTCTGAAAAGCTTCCTACTGTCATGTTAATTGTGACAAAGTATTTAGTTTTTGTAGGAATACTGCCCTTTTGAAAACTTACGAGATTGCACAAAGATCAATTAATGAATTTTGAATTCCTCATTTGCATAAAGTTTCAGGCCGTCACTATGAAGATTTGGGATATGCTTTTTCATAAACTAGCTCATTTCTGAAGAGCAGCCAAAACTGGATCCCTTGACTATTCCAACCTCATTTCATAGGAAATAAAGGTATAGAAAGAATAAACTTTTCCTAAATATAATCTGTAGATTTCCAGACAGAGAGATAAAACCTATACCCTCTCCAAATAATAGTGACCCATAGGGGAGAGGAAATAATATTTATTGAGTTGCTGCTATGCACTGGGCATTGTGCTAAGAGCATTAGGTGCACATAGTGCTATTGCAGGCTCCTTTGCTTCTTCATTCTCACAACAACCCCATGACAAGACAGCCCTTTAGTTTTGTGCAACTTTCTTTCCAAACATGTTTCTCTCCCAGATCCCTCTCCCCTGCTTCAACCGCAGTTAGAACAATGCCTGCCAGTGTTTTCATATTCATATTGCTATATTGTGGCTCATATAGCAAAGTGTACCATTTACATTGCGTGCTGAAATTAATAGTGGAGTAATCTACAGCATTTTGATAAGGCTTGGCAGAAGATAATTTATGTATTGTATATTTATAAGAAAAATAAAATAAAAGCACTTCATAAATACTGAGGGATACTAAATATTGAGTTTATACTACATTTACAAGTTAAAGCATTTTGACTTTTAAAATGAGAAATTAAAGCCTGCTTTTGTGAACATAACTTTATTATTTATTAAAATATTGACATTTAACTTACATCCTGTGAAATACACAGATTATAAGCTTCGATAATATTTATTTATTTACTTATTTTTGTAGTTCTATAGATTGAACCCAGAGCTGTGCATATAGGGCAAGCCCTCTACCACCGGGTAAATCCCCAGCCCCTTGATCATCTTTGACAAGAGAACTCATTTCCCTCAATCAATACATTTGCATTTTTATTACCCCGGAGAGTTCCTTGCTGCCTGCTTTTATTTTCTGGCCCTGAAAGCAGCCACTGGTCTGGTATTTACTACTGTGCAAAGTTTTACCTATTCTAAAATTTCATATAAACGGAATAATATAGTATACAGTTTGTTCCTCCATCTGTGGTTTCCACTTAATATATTCAACCATCAGCAGATCAAAAATATTTTTAAAAGGGCTGGGGATTTAGCTCAGTGGATCTGCTGCCTGCCTCGCACGCACAAGGTCCTGAGTTCGATCCCTGGTACAAAAAAAAAAATTCTTTAAAACTTGTCCATACTGAACATGTACAGAATTTTCTTGTCACTATTCCCTAAACAATACAACTATAATACAATTTACATTATATTAGAGATTATAAATAATCTACAGATGATTTAGCCTATGAGAGGATGTGTGTAGGTTGTATACGAATGTTACGCCAGCAACCAATTCTCATGGACGTGGAGGAAAACTATACTCTTGTTTGTCTCTCCTTTCATTGAGGATAATTATGTAAGAGTCATTCATTGCTT